GGACTTCAGATATCATTATTGTTCAAGAGTTATGATGTAAAAATTTTAAATCCTACTTCAGGTGTGTACAATTCTGGGAAGTAAGCTTCCGCGAAATCGGTTTACCTTTCTTAACTTAGTAAACAGGCTGAGAGCCAAACAAGAATCAGTTATCGCTCCGATTGGCGAAAGGGGTGTTTCCTTTCAAATGACAATTGCTTTTCCGTATTGTATTTTGTATTGCTCACACTCTTTTTGTTTTAAACTTTATTGTTAGTTATGAAAAATAATAGTAAGGTGATGGTTATTAAGTAAATCACTTTTATCTCGACTCTGGCGATTCTAAATACTAAAGAGGAAAAACATGCAAAGTCCTATTCTTTGGAATGATCTGTTGTATATATTTGATTTTATTATTGTAAATAGTTAGTTTTGTATCCATAAATTTTTTAATAACTTTTATGTACATGATATAATGCCATTTACTGATATTTGTTTTGTGATGAGTCAAAAATTTTTATTTCATCCCCAAAATGTTAAATATTTTATAAAGGCTACTTGCTCAACTTTTTTGTTTAAAGTCTTAAGTATAGTTACAAATGCAAAGGTTTTGTCTAAGTGGGTGAATTTTAATGACTAGCCTAGTGCACTTCAATTATTTTTCAACTGTGTATTCCATATCAATGATAATGTGCAAAGAACTGATGACTATAGTTGCTGACAATTACATAATTGTTATATGAATTAGAAGTAATTTCAAATAAACTTTTTGGCAATATTCATTTTTGTATTCATATATATATATACAATCAAAAGTCTTTAATCCAGACTCGTCGGGACTTCGGCGATTCCAGATTAGGGATTTTTCTGGATTATAGATCATCAGTTTAAATCTGGTAAGATAGCATGCAGAAATTATAAAATTAAAAATATGAAACCATAATTTAGGAAATAAAGAGCCATTATGATCTAAAACGTATCAAAATTTACAAAAAAAAAAAAAAAAAAAAAAAAAAAGCTTAATATTTATTTGTTTACTTTATTAAACATTTCTTTCAATGCGCACATAGTCGAAATTCGAAAATTGCAACTAGAAAACTATTTGATGTGTATTTGTTATATTTATAATGACAAATTTTATTTAAATCATATCAAAGACGGAGTACATCGAGATGAAATACTACATTTAGTAAAGAATCGTAAGCCAAATAAAATAAAAACATCTGCTCTGAAGATGAGGATAGTGCTGACAGATCAACTTCCAGTTCATTGCGTGGCGTGACATCCCCCCCCTCCCAAGAGCAGCGTGAAATTTATAAACAGATTTCAGAATGGTTAGAGAAACAAAGGATATGCCTTTATCCATTTTTTGCAGCAATTATACTTTTTGTTTGATGGACATCAAAGCATGCTTTCGCTTTGTAGATCCTTTGGCAGCTCCAGAATCGGAAATTCTTTTTGACATAATCGAAAGTTCAAGCTTACTTTTATAAAATTGCTCTAACAGTCTGCAAAAAATAATAAGCCGGATCCAATTAGAAAATTAAAGAACAACACAATCTGCAACATTAACTGAAATAGATAATTAGATAATTTTAACTTAGCTTATAATGTTTGTTATACATTAAATGTGCATGTGTAAAGGTATTATGCGCATACGTAAATGCATATGCGCATGCGCAGAAAGTTTGTAGCTTTGAGGTCCGGACTATGGACGTCCAGATTAGAGACTTTTGACTGTGTATGTAAGAAAAATAAAGAATATATAAAAGATTAAATTAGCAACGTAAATTTCCCTTCTCAATTCAAAAAATAGTAACCCCTCTCCGCACTGCATCATTTCGAGACTGTTCTATGTTATATGATTCTTACGTAAGTAGGATGATGTAAATGGAACTAAACCAGCCAATAGTAATTTTAAAGCAATATTAACTGTCCAATCAGAATGCTTTGAGAACCAAAACTAACTCAGTTTGACTTAAGATTTCATCCTGAACATTATACACTTGTTTTTCCATGTTTTGGCCTAGCTAGACTGCTGTCGGTCTGTTGCTGCTTTCTTGCATAAAAGTTATGAAAAATGTAAGCCTTTTGAACAGTCACATTTAATATGCCAACTTGTGTGTAGCCGCTACATGCTGCTGAAAATAAAACTGAAGATTTAATCTGCATTCGCTTCCTCCTCCTGCTCTCCAGTTATTTCTGACTTTGTTTTTATTATGTATATATGCACACATCTAATATTTACCTACACATAGGGAGAGAGATGTGATGGTTTAGAAATTGTTGATTTATGTTTATTAGTATTAATGTAATGAATAAGCTTTTTATTAATGAATGTATATACAAATGTTTTTCATCATTTGTAATGATAAATCGATAAATATACAATGTTTCAATATGTAGCATTTATAATAAAAATATAGTTCTTAATGTGTTTATAATCTAAAAAGCATTTCATTAATAACATAAGATAATAGCATACAAAATTAATGTGTATCCTAATTAAAAATAATCTGTTTTAATAAATGTACATAATCGCTGATTATGCAATTTCAATTTAAAAGTAATTAGCAGAGAAGTAAAGTCGTGCATACATATACAAACATATTTTAAAAAATTACTCCCCTTAATAAAAAAATTCTGTTATATAACAATAACATTCATCTCGCACTATTAGCCCGAAATACAATAAATTTGGCAAACTTTTGGCGACAAATAATTTGTAAACAAATCATCAGAAATAGCATGTCATAAAATATTGTCTACTCTGAAATTTCCACGATTATAAATTTAATGAATATGTAAACATTTAAAAATGGCAGTTATGCTACAACAAAACAGCAATATATATGTGGCTTTTTCCGTATTTCTTCAATTAAATAGGCATCTATTTCCGCTGTCCATGATTTCACAATGAGAGCCATATCCATATTACCGTGATCCCTCAGAAGCAGAACTTTCGTCTGATTGTTTGAACGTATGGGGAACACGTCTCCAGATGGAACTTTTTCGGAAAAGTTACAAAATGTTTCGTCTGGCTAAACGAAACATTCATCAACACAATCACCGCCAAAAGCTATACAATCATTCCAACGCTTTTTTAATTTTTTTATACCATGCTTGTAAAACGATTTGTTCTTGTCCACAAAATAGGCTTCGGTGGCAGCGATGACTTCTTCATTCGAGCCAAATCCTTTTCTCCTGAGCATCTTTTTCAGATCAGCAAACAGCCAATAGTTTCTGGAGGCTAGTCTGGTGAGTATGGTGGGTGGGCAAGCAGAGTGAAGCCCAACTCATTCAACGTAACCAGTGTTTGCATTGTCTTGATAGCAGATGATTTTTTCTTCTTCATGTGTGGTTACATCAAATGCACCAATAACTCACTGTAATAGGCAGCATTGATAGATTCTTTTCTTTTCAAGGTAGTCTATTTAAATTATACCTCACGCATCTCAAAACACTTACGCTATGACTTTGCCGGCTGACTGTTGCGTTTTTGGATGTTTCGGACAGCTTTCACCGGCTGCACGCCACTCAACTGGCTGCCCCTTCAACTCCAGAGTGAAATGGTGGATCCATGTTTCGTACATTGTCACATACCAACACGTTACAACCTGTTTATTGTGAGTAAACTGTGACAAACAGCTCTGTGAATCGTCGACTCGTCGTTGCTTTTATTCCATTGTGAGCACATATGGTACCCATTTGGAAAACACATTTTTCTTGCCCAACTTTTCATGTGTAAAATCATACGCCCACTTCCAGTTGATATGTTTACCATCTAAAAAATCTCGCGAACTTTTACTTTGTGGTCGTTCATCACGATTTTCAACACTTGTTTCACATTTTCTGTAGTGACTGCTTCATTTGGCCTCCCCAAGCTGGCCGCATCATTTGTATCCATGCGATCATGCTTCACAAATCAACACATCGCTAGCAAGTGATTGTTTTCGATTAAGCAGAGTCTGGATAACATTTTTTAAGCCATTGCTGAGCTTGCATGGTATTTTTGCCCATTAAATAGCAATGTTTGATCAACACTTGAAATTCGTTTTTTATCAATTTTGTTCACAAATGCATACGCAGCGTCATTTTCATCACTGTAGCTTCACTGTTTCATGTCCAATTGCCATGAAAATCAGACACGTGTCATTTAAAGGATAGTTATTTCGAGCAGCGAAGTCAAGTTGATATTACTGACACCATCTGTCGGTTAGTCCCAGGACTTATTGAACGATGTGTTATTTGCTAATATTCGAAGTAAATAATATTTTAAATAAGAAGTACCAAGGTGAATTTTAATTAATTGAGTAGAATGTTACCTATTTGCTTATGATATTATTGAATTATGCTAAATTGTAAAAAATCAGTAATCATAAATTTTTCAACTGTGTTTGTAGCCTTTTGTTTTGTTGAAATACATAATTTTTATAATGTATTCTAAATCTAAAACCAACAATATTGTAAATTCATAAAAAGATGAAACAAAAATACAGTCTGAAATATCTGTGAACGCTTTCTAAGATGTAAAAAAATTTATCAGAGGTAATTAGGATATGAAATGCTTGATGGGACTTGTTTTTCATGGAAGACTGTATTAGAGTTACTAGAACTATAAGTTAGGTCATACTGAGATTTTGAAAAAGTTATATTTGTTTAGGTTTGTTTTCATTTCTCAGGTCTATTTCAATTTTTATTTGGCTATATTATCTCTTTTTTTTGGGGGGGGAGTTTATTAATTTCTATTGTTTATATTTTCCCTGCTATTTAAAATTGAAATAGTGCAAAAAAATGAAACTTTTAAATTTAGTTGTTCTTGTACCACTGTATAATTACGTGTTATGATGCATTAAAATTATGTGTACCTGTATTAAATTACAAACTGTATTATTATTTAATGTGTGAATTTGTTTAATATGCTTCAATACAATATGCAATGCATCATTGAAAGGAAAAATCTAAATCATCCATCCCAAAATATAGTGTAATGCTTTTTTTTTTTCCATTTTATCTTATAGATATGTCTCTCGTTTTCCTTTCATGAAAGTAGATGAGTCTAAAGTCGCCAAAGTTGTTCCTGCTAGGATAACTGCAATGGCACTAAACCCTTTGCCAGACAGAATTATTGTCACTGCTGCAGATAAATATGGAAATATGGGCTTTTGGAAAGTTGTAAGTCATAAATCATTTTACCACATTTTTAAAGGTGTATTGGGTATTCTAAAAATATATTACGAGAGGAGCTTTATTTACTAATTTATACAGTTCGGAGTAATATTAAATCAATGTAAAAATTTATTTAAGTACATTTTTATATATTTATATCTGTGAATTCAGCATATACTTTCAGTTACTGTTAGCAAAGCTACCACTAAAGATCTGAATTTATGTTAAATGTTTGATAATAAATGTTGTAAATATTTCTACAGCAAATTACCAAAGTAAGGAAAAAAAACTATTTCTTACCTTGTCTTCTCAGTAGTGCCCAGCATCATCATCATAGTTTAGTAATCCATAAAGAGGTTGTACATGAAAATTGCAAACGAACACATTTATTTTATACATAATAATAATAGAATAAGATTCATTAGAATTTTCGTAATATATATCAAGAGAGCATTCAATAATTAGTCATTGTGAGAGAGAAAAGCGAGTCACTTGGTTAACATTTTCGGTAGTGCACCGATTACATTGTCTATCGCCTTATTGGCGTTCTGTTCATCACTGTATACCAGTCCCCCTACCTAATGGACAGCATCACTGTTGCAGTGATTCTCAAAATTTCTCAAACATAGGCTTGCCTAGCAGTTTGGTGAACAGGTCTGCAAAATCATGTTAGAGTTTCTGCAGTAGTCTAGGCTTAGGATGCCGTTTTGTTGAAGTTCAAGCAAGTAGGGTTATTTGACACCTATATGTTTTGTTCTGGAACTCTTTTTCCTCTGACTCGTGAAAGTTTCTTGTTTACTGTGAAAGTCAGCTGCATGACTTGTTAACTTCATAGAGAATAATTAGTAGATTTTGTTTTAGCCCTAAATCTTCAAGTAAATTTAAGAGCCATTGTGCTCCTTGAGCTGTATTAGCTGCTGCAACATATTCTGCTTCAGTTGAAGATAATGCAGTGCAGTTTTGCCTTTTGATGTTCCATAAATTGTAATTGTTTCCTAGTTTGAATATGTATCTGCTAATGGGTTTTATAGCTGTTTTGTCATTTCCCCAATCTACATCTGAATATGCAGTTAGTATTTACATATACAGTCAAAAGTCGTTAATCCGGACTTCTCGGGACTTTGGCGATTCTGGATTATCGATTTTTCCGGATTATAGATCATCAGTTTAAATCTCGTAAGAATGCATGCAGAAATTCTAAAATTAAAAATATGAAACCGTAATTTATGAAATAAAGAACAATTATGATCTAAAGGGTATCAAAATTTACAAAAAAAAAAAAAAAAAAAGCTTAATATTTATTTGTTTACTTTATTAAACATTTCTTTCAATGCAAGTTGTTTTAAGTTGCTTCGTTTTATGTTATAATACTTTCTCTTTAATTCTATAAACAGACACAATTTCTTGTTCAGTTACAAAGTTCCGCTGTTCAAGTCCCGTTAATTGTTGTGCCGAGAATACCGACTAACTTGTCAATCGAAATTTTTTCGTTTTTTTTTTTAACCTCTCTGTCACATTCTTCATGTCTTTATCCATTTTTTGCAGCAATTCCACTTTTTGTTTGATGGACATCGAAACATACTTTCATTTTGTACGATCCTTTGGGAGCTCCAGAATCGGAAATTCTATTTGACATAATCGAAAGTTCAAGTTTACTTTTATAAAATTGCTCTTACAGTCTGCAAAAAATAATAAGCCGGATCCAATTCGAAATTAAGGAACAACGCAATCATCAACATTAACTGAAATAGATAATTAGATAATTTTAGATTATACCGTCCGTTATACATAAAACGCACACGCGAAAACGTATTCTGCGCTTGCGCACATGCATATGCGCAGTGGTAAATGGTCTTACTCGCACGCGTAAACGCCTATGCGCATGTGTCAACGCGCCGCATGCACAGAAAGTTTTTAGCTTTGAAGTCCGAATTAACGACTTTTAACTGTACTAACTGCATATTCAGATGTTGGTCTAATTTTGTTGAAGATCAACTTCAAGTCTTTAGTTGTATTTAAGTATTGAATGACCCTTTCAACAGCAATCCAATCAATTTTCCGAGGTTTTTCATTTCTTCTACTCAGTAGATTGACAGCACGTGCTACATCAGGTCGAATGATTGTTGCAATGGATAGTAATGCCTCTACTGCTTGTCTATATTCTGTATTATCTTCTAGAAGATCATCTTCAGTTTCTAGTTTGCGCTAGTTTGTTTCCATTGGCGTATATGTTGGTTTTTCATCTTGCAGTCCAAATCTTTCAACTAGTTCTTCGATTTTCTTCTTTTGGTTTATAGCAAAGATTCCACCTTTAGATCTTCTGATGTTTATCCCAGGTTGTTGTTGACTTCTCCTAGGACTTGGATATCCAGTTTAGCTTTTAGTTGTTGAATTATTTTCATTACATCTTCTTCACTTTCACTTCCTTAAGTATATCGTTTACATATATTATATATGTGAATTTTTCATAGTTGTTTTTGAAAAATAAGCTTGGGTCTGTTTTACTTTGTTTAAATGATATGTTTAGAAGTATTTTTTTTATTTTCAGATTTCAAGCTCTAGTTGCTTTTTTAGTCCATATATTGATTTCTTCATCTTGCAAATTTTATTTTCATTTCCAGCTTTTGCATATCCTTCAGATTGAGTCATGTAAATTTCTTCTAGTTCTCCATGAAGGAAAGCTGTTTTGACATCCATATGTCTGACAGGCATGTTTTTATATGAAGCTGCTCATAGGAAACCCCATAATTGTGTATTTTACCTCAGGAGCAAAGGTTTCATCATAGTCAAATCCAAACTTCTTGCTAAATCCTTTTGCGACTAATCTGGCTTTGTATATTTAGATTTTTCCTTCTGCATTGAGCTTGGTTTTGAAAGTCCATTTGCAGCTTATTGTTTTTCTTCCTTTTGATAAGTCAATTAATTCCTAAGTGTTGTTTTCTTCTAGTGAAATAATCTCTTCTTGAACAGCTGTCAACCAGTTCCCCCCCCCCAAAGTTTGAATTTCCTTCCAGGTTTGGGATTCTGGACAGACTGGATATTTTGCATGATATCCGTAGCAATCATGAGATTTACCTTTTGTGTTTCTGTTCGATCTTCCGAGTTCTAAAAATTCTGATTCAGAAGTCAAACAACAAAAATCAGCGTTAATTCACAAAATTTTCACAGGACTAGTTTCGATGGTTTGCGGTTTTGCAGCTGAAGATGATGGTTCGGTAAAACCATCGAAACTAGTCCTGTGAAAATTTTGTGAATTAACCTGATTTTTGTTGTTTGACTTCTGAATCAGTATTTATTCGGCGTTTATGTGTCCTTAATTCTAAAAATTCGTCGTTTAATCCCCCCTTCCCCCCCCCTCAGTTTTTTCAATTTTTATTTCTTCTTGTTTAAAGATTTCTTCGTTAGGATTATCTTTATCTTGGTTCAAAGAAACACTTGCAGGCTAATTAGTTCCAGTGTCTTCAATAAATCTTATTGATCGAGTTATGATTTTGTCTCCAGGAATTAAAATTCTGTAGCCTTTACTTCTGCTGTCATACCTGATGTGTATTCTGTCTATAGCAGTGTCCCCCAGTTTACCCCTTTTAGATTTATGGATGTAAGCAAAGGCCTTGCACCAAAATGTCCTCAGATGAAAGAGGTTGGGTTTCTTGTTATTCCATAATTTGTACAATGTTTTCGCATTGGGTTTCATAGGCATACAATTTTGTAAATAATTTGCAATCAGCGCTGCTTCCGTCCAGTATTTGTAAGGTTGACCTGCATCAGCTAAAGACATCTTGTCATTTCTATTTATTCACCAACTCCATTTTGTGCTGGACAATGCGGAACACTTAGCTGGTGATTTATTTATACCATGTTTTATAAGATATTCTTCCAGTTCTTTACTTTTCATATGCACCACTGTTATCACTTCTTGGCATTTTTACTTTTCTTCTGAATTTATTTTTCGTAAGAGAAATAGATTGTTTAAGCTTAGAAATTACTTCATTTTTTCTTTTCATTAAGTAAATCATTGTAAACTTACTGTAATCATCAATAAAAGTTATGAAGTACAGGTAACCACTGACAGATGGTGTTTGTACCGGTCCTAAAACATCAGTGTGAGTTCATGTAGTTTGAATGCTGTAAGTTTCAATTCTTTGGAACACGAAAAATCAGTTTACATTTTATGCACTGAATGCATTTGTATTATGTTTACAATTAATCTAGTCTAATTCTTTCAGGAGTTCTTTGTTTACAAGTTGTTTGATCGCGTCATTGTTTCTGTGACAAAAGCGTCTATGCCAAATTTGAATGCAGTTTTCATTTTTGCGCTAAAATGCTATGTGAACTAATAATTCATTGTTCCTGTCGATTGGTTCAAGACAACTGATTCCTGGCACTTCAAAATTTTTCATAAGAAAATCCTGAAGGAGGAGCTAACTCGGAAGTATTACCCCCACCCATTGTGTTCTCGTACAAAGAAAGTGATTGGATGATACTTATGAACTATTCAAGAAAAATTGTACTGAGGCTTATGAAAGCCAGATGAAAACTAAATCTATTTTTGTCTGTACTAAAAACCTGAATAATAATTACAGCAAAATGAACCAACTCCTACTAGCAAGTAATATTCCATTTCATTCCTATCAATTGTACATGTAATACTGAAGAATGTCCCCACCTCTGTAAAGGAAGAAGCTATATATCAAGACTCAGAATTCAGAAAATATCCGATTTCGAAAGTTAAGCAATTCACCAGAAATCGTAAAGGAGTAATAGCAAGACTTCCAATATTCCTGCTGGAGTTAAAGAAAAATTTCGAAGGAAACCTGATTCACCAACTAAATAACATGTTAAGTTTCAACATTGTAATAGAGAAATTTAGTACTAAAAAGAGACCAGTACAATGCTATCGTTGTCAGCAGTTCGGCCATTATAAATATCACCTTTTTTAGAGTTGCTAAAAGTTATCATTTCGAGCTTGAGCTGCTCTTTAGACAATGGATCGATTTGATTATCCT